TCTTTGAGGATGTGAATTACTGGTGTTTTATTTTTAAAATAGTTACTATTTTAGGTCTTCTCCCAGCTTTGTTTCTGTTTTGTTCAAGTTGTGTTACGTTTTCTACTTATGTTCTGCCTTTGGTACTAAAGTTTTTCTTAAAATATTTTTGTGTTCATGATCATTGGGAATCAGCTTTTTTTTTGGAGACAATAAAAAAATTTGAAAGCTCTTTGCACATGAGTGGCACCTGTTAGTGGGCTCCACTGTAGGGTTTCCTGAGTAATCTCTTTTTGAGGTGACCCTCCCACTCCATTATTATCTGTCATTTCTCCTAGTCTAGTCTGTTACCCTTTGTGGAAACTTCCAGTGTCCAATGTGTCCGGTATAAACCTTGTTACAGTTTCCTGTGACTGAGGAGGGAAGGAAGCTGGCTCAGTATTTGATATTTGGTAGATACTTTCCCCTGTATATGGTATTCTTGCATGTGGTTCAACTTTTCAAGACTGTTATTAATTAGGATAGGCTAAACTGCTGTAACAAGTACAGTTGACACTCCGTATCCTATTAATTAGGATAGGCTAAACTGCAGTAACATATACAGGTGACACTCTGTATCCATGGGTTCTGTATCCATGGATTAAACCAACTGGAATAGAAAATAATTGGAAAAAAACTAATACAAATAAAAAAATACAGTATAACAATTATTTGCATGGCACTTTCATCGTATGAGGTATTATAAGTGATCTATTATTATAATTTAGTTGATGGGAAGATGTGCTTAGGTTATACGAAAATACCACATCATTTTATGTAAGGCATCATTTATGTAAGGCACTTGAGCATATGTGGATTTTGGTATCTGCGAGGGTCCTAGAACCAATCACCCATGGATACCAAGGGATGACTGTAGAAACTATATATTGTCTCAAACACAATAGGTTTTTATTTCTTATTCCTTAGGAATCTAAAGTGGGTTTTCCTGGTCAGCAGTCACCTCTTTATATGGTGAATTAAAGATGCAAGCTTTTTCTGCCTCCTGACTTTGCTATCTCTGGAGCCTCTTCATTAACTGCATCCAGCCAGCAAAAAGGTAGAGGGAACATCTAAGAGGAAAATGCTTGTAAGTAGTGAGGAATAAAATTCATAGCTAAAACTTAGAGAGGAAAAACATTGCTAAGTACTGCTAGGTGCCTAAGCCAATCTTCTATTCATTTTCTCATGGGTTTTAATTATCCTCAAAGCTCTCTGAATTAAGTTTTGTCTCCATTTTATAAAAGAGAAAACTGAAGTTCTAAGAAAGAAACAATTTTCTCACGTTCACGTCTGCTAAGTGGCACAGTCAGGGTTTGAAGCTAGATGGTAAAATCATTTAGTTTTAAAAGATATGTGATTTTTTTTTTTTTTTTTTTTTGAGACAGTGTTTTGCTCTTGTTGCCCAGGCTGGAGTGCAGTGGTGCGATCTCGGCTCACTGCTACCTCCGCCTTCCGATTTCAAGTGATTCTCCTGCCTCAGCCTCCTGAATAGCTGGGATTACAGGTACCTGCAACCACGCCTGGCTAATTTTTGTATTTTTAGTGGAGACGAGGTTTCACCATGTTGGCCAGGTTGACTCGAACTCCTAACCTTGTGATCCGCCTCCCTCAGGCTTCCAAAGTGCTGGGATTACAGGCGTGAGCCACCACGCCCAGCCAAGATACATGATATTTAAGGCAGTTTTAGATTTGTGGTGGAAGAGAGCTTTTAAACACATTGAAAAAGAATGTTTTTCTGTGACTTCTTTTTTGGTATAAATCCCTAAAAAGTCTCAAAGATATACAGGATTAAGTATTTTGAAAATTATTGTTGCATATACTGAACTTCTGACAAGAATTCCAAAGGATAGGTAATCCAAAACTAAATAAATCATACCAAAACATTGTATTATTAAAATAGGCTAACATGATATAGAGTAACTGGGTAGTTATTTTAGATTAGAGAGACTAAGACAGGTAACATGAAGCATTTATCATAGGTACAAAAATGTATACAGGCACATCTTGTTTTATTGTGCTTTGCATTATTGCACTTTTACAAAATCTCAATAAACACATACAACCATCCATTTTTTCCCCTTAATTTCTTCCATTAGCGATTGGTTTAACCCAGGAATGCAGAATCCACAAAACGGAGGGCCGACTGTATATTGTTTTGGTTTGCCTGTTTTAGAACTGGGATGATTATTTAATTGACAGAATCATTGTACATATTTATGGGTTATATGGTGATGTGATACATATAATGTATAGTAATCAGATCAGGGTAATTAAAATATCCATCATCTCAAACATTTATCATTTCTTTGTGTTGAGAACATTCAATATCCTCCTAGCAATTTGAAACTACATATTATTGTTAACTATAGTTATCCTAAAGTGGTATAGAGCACTAGAACTTATTCCTCCTATCTAGCTATAATTTTAACAAATGTCTCCCATCCTTTTCTTCCTCCTAATCCTTCCTATCCTCTAGTATCCTCTGTTCTACTTTTTATTTCTGAAATCAACTTTTTTTAAAGCTCATACATTAGTGAGAACATGTGGTGTGCAACTTTCTCTTGTTGGCGTATTTCACTTAATATCCACCAGTTCCAGCCATGTTGCTGTGAATGACAGGATTTCATTCCTTTTTACTGAATAGTATTTTCTTTATCCATTAATCTTGCTGGACACCTAGGCTAATTCTGTATCTTGGCTATTGTGAATAGTGCTGCAATGAACATGGGGGAGGGAAGATGTCTTTTTAATATACTGATTTCTTTTCCTTTGGATAAATGCTCAGTAGTGGGTTATCTTATTTGCAGTTTCTTGAGGAAACTCCATAGTGTTCTCCATAGTAGTTCTAAGAGTTTACATTCCAAACAGTGTATAAGATTTTCCCTTTCTCTGCATCCTCACCAGCTTTGTTTTTTGACTTTTGTAATAGCCAGCCTAACTGGGGTGAGACAATACCTCACTCTCACTTTCCTGATGATGAGTGATGTTGAACATTTTTCATATATTTATTAGCTATTTGTATGTCTCCTTTGGAGAAATATCTGTTCAGATCATTTGCCCATTCTTAAATTGGCTTGTTTGGTTTTTATTGCTGGTGCAATATTTGAGTTCCTTGTATATTCTGGATATGAATCCCTGTCAGATGAATAGCTTGCAAATACTTTTTTTTTCCCCATTCTATAGGTTGTTTTTTCACTCTGTTGTTTCATTTGCTGTGCAGAAACTTTTTAGTTGGACATAATCTCATTTATTTTTGCTTTTGTTGTCTGTGCTTTTGAAATCTTATTCGTAAAATCTTTTCCCAGTTCAATGTCTCGAAGCATTTCCCTTATATTTTCTTCTACTACTTTTGTAGTTTCAGGTCTTACACTTAGCTCTTTGACCCATTGAGCTGAATTTTTGTATCGAGTGAGAGGTGGGGGTCTGGTTTCACTCTTCTGCATGTTGATATCCAGTTTTCCTAGCACTATTTTTTGAAGAGACTGTCTTTTCCCTAATGTATGTTCTTGGCAACTTTTTCAAAAACCAGTTGGCTGTAGATGTATGGATTAATTTCTGTTCTATATTCTGTTCCACTGGTCTGTTTCTGTTTCTATTCCAGTACCATGCTTATTTGGTTACTATAGCTTGTAATATATTTTGAAGTCTGGTGATGTGATGCCTCTAGCTTTGTTCTTTTTGTTTAGGACTGCTAAAAGCAAATTCTTGATAAAGAAATAGACCTATTATGTGTAAGATATTAAATAATATCTAATGGTAGGTGTAAGAGATACCATAATTTTGAAGTAGTGATCAAGGTAAAATAAATTTTCTGTATTTGCAACAACTACAAATAGAGTTTGATAGTATCTATGATTTTTATTGACTAAAAAGTTGCAGGTCCTGCTAATAATATTGTGGTTTGTTGCCTACCTTCTCAAACAAAGGAAATGCTTAGAAGTTAGTGCCAATAAAGATGGAACTTTTACCCATCCAAGTTATCAGACTCTGAATTTTATCCATAGACTCCTTCAGGATTTGTGTACAAACCACTACTCTAGAGTATATAACTAGGAATGGAATTGCTAGGTCATAAGTTAAGTACATATTCATCTTTACTAAATCGTGCCAAACTGTTCTATAAATGTATTTTCTTAATAGCAGTGTATGAGGTTTTCCTGACCAATTTCTTATTATTGCCCATCTGATCTGATGAGTTGTAAAGACACATTTTTACACCTCTTATAACAAACAGGTATTAGTTGAAGGATGGCGGGAATTATAAGATGTGGGCAAAAGGAACAATTGTGATGGTGTTCTTGCATTGTTTTTTTTTTTTTAAAGGTCAGTCTCCTGAGAGGTGTATCCAATGCTGGCCCAACTGGGTAGGAGGACAGCAGCTATACACGTAAACTCTAGATGCTTAAATTTCCTGAGTGAAAACTTTCCAAATAAACACTGAGATGGAAGACTCTTAGACAAAACTCAGAGCCAATGCCTCTAACTTCCGTAATAGGTTTTTACCTCCAGTGTTGGGTCTTCTTTGCCTTAGTAGGAAACTCATCTGTCCTTTGAATCCCAGGGAGCAAGATAAATGAGGGATGATTATACTTTCTGCTTTTCCAATTTCCCTCAGATAGCTAATTCATAATTTACTCCCTTTGCTATATGTAACAGCAGTGTAAAATAGAAATATAAAATAACATAGAAATGTAAAAGTAACATAGCTGTAAATATAGATTTCATAGTCTTGGAAGTACCAAATCTACTTTAATAGGAAACACTCAATTAAAACAAAAATTTAAGTTGTTTATAGGGAAACCCTACCACATCTGTGACAGTACTAAAGAAACTGATTCTGGGGTTAGTGGTATGCAATTTTCTTGAGGTAACAATATTTACAGTAAAGATGGTAAATTGGTACTGTCTCATTACCTTATAGTAACACAGCAATAGCTTCAGAGAAGATAAATATATAAAACTCTTAATAAAAAGAACCAGAATGTATATGTAGGCTTTTATTAGGGCAAACATTTCCATATCCGTAAAGATTTCATTAAAACAAATGTATGTCTCAAGTATCTTTGTTAAACAGGATCCAAAATGAAGTAAATATTAGTTAAAATTAATTATAAATAAAGACATTTCAGCATATAAACCAACAAATCTTTTCTAGATTTTTAATACCAGGACCTAACAGCATCATTTTCCAAGTAAGTGACAAATAACTAATGTGAAAACCGTATTTAATATAGATGTCACAAATGACAATGTAGTTTTCCACAGTAAAGAAATATGTTAATTTTCATGAATGCTATTTGGTATTAAAAAATAAATGTTACTGGACAAAAAACAAAAAACAAAAAAAACAGGAAAACAGACATGATGGAAAGGTTGATAAAATATATTATTTAAAAATGCTGTCACAAGCATGGAAATGTTACCATTATCATTTGAGTACAAGAAAATGCTATAAAGCAAAGAGTTGTCAGAATAAAGTAGAAGAGATATTCTGAAACAAATGAAGAGTCAAGATCTTAAAACAGTGACAAGTATTTTTAATGTATGACAGATACTGAAATACCGTGGAGAAAGTAAACACAACTATTTTTTGAAGTGGTAGTTACAAAGCACAGATGTAGCCTTCAAAATGCAAGAAACATAGCAAATTAACTTACCACCTCCTTCAAATAAAAGTGAGAACCTCTTGGGAGAATTTAAGCACCATTAGCAGACACATCTTATAGCAGTTAATGAAATGTTTTGTATTTCAGTAGAAAACTATTTCAATGGTGAAAACGATGTAGGAATCAGAAGCATATTCTGCTGAGATACTAGGTAGTTGACACTTTCCCGAACTGGAAAAACATTTCAGAAGGGCATATAGAGTTACTGACTGAATCACATTTGTTCTAAAAATAATTCATGCCTAGTCAAACAGCTTACCAGCTGCCACAACTCTGGGATCCTCATGGGACTTATGTCTCCCAGCTGCACGACTATCTGCACTCTCGTTCCACCAGAGAACATGAACTGCAGAAACAAACCACAAGTAGTTTCTAAAAAAACAGGGCCTTAACAAATAAGAAATAACAGAAAAATGAATCAAACCCATCCTATTCTTTTTTTTTTTGAGACAGAGTTTCACTCTTGTCACCCAGGCTGGAGCGCGGTGGCGCGATCTCAGCTCACTGCAACATCCGCCTCCTGGGTTGTAGAGATTCTCCTGCCTCAGCCTCCGGAGTAGCTGGGATTACAGGTGCCCACCACCATGTCTAGCTATTTTTTTTTTTTTTAGTAGAGATGGGGTTTTGCCATGTTGGGCAGGCTGGTCTTGAACTCCTGAACTCAGGTGATCCACCCACCTCAGCGTCCCAAAGTGCTGGGATTACAGGCATGAGCCACCGTGCTTGGCCAAAACCATCCTATTCTTTAAATCAAAATAGTGATATCAAAAAGGTAAAACTAAATATGTTACTGATAAGATTTCAGAGGGGTCAGAGACTTGCTAGAGAAATTGATAAATTAATCAAATTGGTTTTATAGATGAAGAAATAGAAGGCTGGAAAAGGGAAGTACTAAAGTCAAACAGAGGCACAATCAAGACAAGACCCAAATTTTATGACTTCCTACTAGAGTTTCCTTTAATTTTTAAAAAAGCAAAATTATGAGGAAATTGTGTTTACTATTAAAAATTTACAATATACAAAGAAGAAAATTAAAAGTGGCATAATGTTAACAGTATAGAGAAAACGTCTATGGAAATTTATTTTATTTCCTTTGGAAAATATGAGTAAAACCAAATCAGGGTCTGAATGTACACTATAACAACAGATTTAGTAACAGGTTTTTAAAAATCAACAGTATTTTCTATGGCAATATTAATTTTTAATGGTTATATAAATTCCTCCTTAGAGAATCAGCAACTTATTATGCCAGCCCTTATTGTTGACTATTTAGACTATTTCCAGTATTTCAGTATTCTATAAAATACTGGAATAAATGTTCTTCTTGTACAAAATTGCTTATGAAGTTTTTATAATTGTAATATATAAATGTTAGATGTACAGGAAAATGCAGATAAACTGTAATCATTTTATTTTTGGTGTATCTCTTTATTTGTGTATATATGTATTTTTATTTTTTAATTTTAATTTTATTTTTATTTTTGTGGAGACAGGTTCCCACTTTGTTGCCCAGGCTGGTCTCGAACTCCTGGCCTCAAGCAATCCTGTTGCCTCGGCATCCCAAAGTGTTGGGATTACAGGCGTGAACCACCATGCCTAGCCTGAATTTTTATATATAGTTGTATATTTATACAAATAAACATATATAAGCATATTTGCTTATGCTTATATATCATATGATGTACATGTATATTGGATTTCTGTATTACACATGTATTAAAGGTCATACTACATTTCCAATGTTTCTTTAATGTAAACAATATTAACATAAACTTCATTTGAGCACAACTGTGTTTATAATTATACTTTCGATGACAACTACTGATGTTTATTGAATGACAACTATGTGTCAGGCCTAGTTTTAAGCATTTTAATGTATTAACTCATTTAATTCTCATAATAATCTAGGTCCTCATAATAATCTATCATTTTATGGATGAAAAAACTAAGGTATGGTGAGGTTTACTTACCCAAAGTCAAAAAGTAAGTAGTATACCTGGGAATTAAATCCAGGCAGTCTGAATCTGATTATTTCCTTAATATAAAGTAGAATTTAAGTTGAGAGAACTGAGAAGCATGTCTTATATATATATACTTACATACAGTGTATATAGTATACACTGTCCTCCAGAAATGATGTACTGATTACCAATTCTCCTAACACTGAGAATGAATTTAAGATGAAAAAGTGTATGAACACACATTTTCAGTAGTTGTTTTTAAAAATAAAAGTTATATGTGTGCAGTATAGAAAATTAAGGTAGAGGCTGCGCATGGTGGCTCACGCCTCTTATCCCGGCACTTTGGGAGGCCGAGGAGGCGGATCACCTGTGGTCAGGAGTTTGAGACCAGCCTGGTGAAATCCTGTCTCTACTAAAAATACAAAAATTATCTGGGCGTGGTGGCACACACCTGTAATCCCAGCTACTTGGGAGGCTGGGGCAGGAGAATCTCCTGAACCAGGGAGGCGGAGGTTGCAGGGTGCTGAGATCGCATCACTGCACTCCACAGAGCATGGCTCCATCTCAAAAAAAAAAAAAAAAAAAAAAAAAAAAAAGAATATTAACATAGAGACTTAACCATTTATCTCACTGAAATATGACTACTATGTATGTTATATACTTTCAAATTTCTTTTCTATATAATTTAGCACACCTATACACATACACACCCAGGCATATTTTCTAGAAGTAATACTGGCAAAAACAATAAAAATAAGGCTTTTATTTGTATTGTCAAATTTTGGGGAAAGATTAAGCTAATACGAACCCTGCACAGTATTTGAGTACTTATTTTTTCCTGACCTAATACTATATCCATGTAAGTATGCCTTTTATTAGGTAAATAAATGGCATCTCATTATTGTTTTAATATGCATTTTCTTTAATATATATTTAGTAGCCACGTGCATGTCTACTTTTGCATAAATTTTTATTTTTATTTTTGCCTTTGAATTTCATTTATTGTGATTTTCAGGCATCCAGAAAGTTTGAGCCTTTGTATAATAAAATCATAAGTTGATTTTTTTTTTTCTTCATCGTTTCTTCATTTGCTTTTGGCTTACAAATATAGTCCCAATCCACATTATTAAATAAATTCATCTACATTTTGTTTTACCAATTTTATGGATTAAATTTTTTTCATTAAAATACACAATCCAGCTTGACTTTATTTTCACATATGGTCTGAGACAGGCATCTAATAATTTTTTTTTTTTTTTTTTTTTTTTTTTTTTTTTGAGACAGTTTCCCTAGTATAATCTCCTCTCAAGCTCCGTCCGGTTTTCCAACCTGTAGAATATACATCTATTTTTTATTTTTATATTTCTAATTTCTTCTTATGATAGATTCATTACCAGGCCTCTAAAACTAGTTTTCCATGATATAATTATTTTATAATTCTATTTTCTTATGATAGATTATTACAAAAAGTTGAATTTCTGCATAAAGATGGGTATATTAGGTTTGAGATGTCCATTGGACATAGATAATAGAAAGGCAACAGGATATTATGATGAGTCTTTCAAATATTTGTTAGCTATTCTTAGACATTTATCCTTTCTTTGTTACTTTTTTTTTTTTTTTTTTAAGAGACAGGGTCTTACTATGCCATTCAGAGGCTGGAGTACAGTGGTGCAATCATAGCTCACTGCAGCCTTGAAATCCTGGCTCAAGAGATCCTCCCACCTCCACCTCCCAAGTAGCTAGGACTACATGTGTTTACCACCATGCCCAACTAATTCTTAATTTTTTTTGTAGAGACAAGCTGTGTTGCCCAGGCTAGTTGCAAACTCCTGGGTTTAAGCAATCCTCCAGCCTCAGCCTCCCAAAAGCACTGGAATTACAGGTGTGAGCTGCCTCTTCGGTTCTTTTATCCTTTCAGATAAACTTTACAAATGTTTTTCTGAATTTGCCACAAATCTTGAAATTCTGATTGAAATGTTTTTTAACATTACAAGTTAAATACCCCAAATATGTGTTTTATTAAATAAATATATCCATATATAAATTTACCTCAATATATATATATTTACTATATCTATATAGATATATATAAAGCTGTGGTGGAAAATGGGTAAATTTTTATGAAGGGCTTTAATTTTTATATAAAACATATATTACCTTTTTACTTAGAGATAATCTCCCTACCCCAAGTAATATTATTTTAAAAAATATCAGTAAAAGTACATTCAGAGGAAAAAGAAATGATGAAAGTAACAGATTATTTCTTGAGGTTCCTTCATTTATTTTTTTTTATTTTTATTTTTTGAGATGGAGTTTTGCTCTTGTCGCCCAGGCTGGAGTGCAATGACACGACTTTGGCTCATTGCAACCTCCGCTTCCTGGATTCAAGTGATTCTCCTGCCTCAGCCTCCAGAGTAGCTGGGATTACAGGCCCCCACCACCACGCCTGGCTAATTTTTTCTATTTTTGGTAGAGATGGGTTTTCACCATATTTGCCAGGCTGGTCTCCAACTCCTGACCTCAGGTGATCTGCCCCCTTCGGCCTCCCAAAGTGCTGGGATTACAGGCCCGAGCCACCGTGCCCAGCTGAGGTTCCTTCAGTTTAAAAATTTAATCATTTTGATGTATCAGGGAAAATAGTTATTCAGCATTTGAAAAAGGTTTCATAAGTTAACATTCTACATAAATAAGATGTAAAACAGATTTTCTCAATTTTAAAAATTACAAAAAACTAAACATTTGGCAATAAATAATAAAATATACTCTATAATGAGAAAGAGAGAAACTGACCCAAGGAACTTAGGTCACAATATATATTACAATTTTATATAAGAAGAAATGGACAACTGTACCTCTGTTAAGTGCTCCATACTCTGTGTGGAACACTCCAACTAGTTTTGTGTAGCCTAGATTGACATGAGCGTGAACTGCCCTTTTAAATGCATCACCCCACAGAGCTGGCCCACCAGGTTTCATCTGAAAAGTGGCCAGTTCATAGACTCCTGGAATAGGGAGAAAAAGAATTTTTCAGAAAACATTCAAGCAATATCTAATCACGTTTCTCAGTGAAAAGTCTTTCACTATCTACAGACACAGATTTGGAGGATGAGACATGCATATGTATTATGTAGACATGTTTATTATATTTGCACTGTCTTTCTTTGCTTTTATGCTTAGAAAGTCCTTGCCCACGTTTAAGAGTGAGTTGTTATGCTTAATCATGCAGATGACAAAGAAAAAGAACTGGAAGCTATTATAAACTATTATCTAAAATATTTTTAATTGATAAAATTTGTTAAAAAACTGTTGAGAATGTATAATGAAATAGAATTTTGAGCTGTATGAGTCTATGCTTTTAGAAAATAAAAGAATAAAAGAAGAATTTTCCAATCTATATTTTCATTCTTTCCAATTTCCACTATGTTTTTCTTCATATAATTTCTCCCTGTAAGTTTCCATTTTTAACAGGAACAGCAAAGGAAAGAGTGGACCTGAAGTGAAGTCTCTGAATTCTGGAGGAAAAAAAACCAAAGCTAAAGAGATGGTTTTATTTGTCCTAAATATCCAAGTAAATACTTGAAAAGTATTGTACACTTTGGACAGAAGTATAGAGCTGGTGGAGAGAAAGAAACTCTGGGACAAGTAGGAAAAACATGCAAAAATTTCCAAGCAATGATGTACACAGAGGAGGAGAACTAAGATTTGACACTGTCAGAGAAGTGAACTATTTTATTTAGATAGTACTGAGAACTGAGGGGACACCTAAGTAGGTAAAGATCCAAAGAAGAGTTTGTAAATTTTTTGTAACCTAAATACACTACAAAGTTGGGAATAATGGGGGAAGTAAAATAACATTTAAATGAGTTTATGCTTTTCTAATCTGACCTTTGTTTAAAACTGGATTGAGGTAATAGTTTCTTTAAGTCAGCAAGAAGTGAAATCAGCAAGAAGACAAATCTTAAGCAATTACTTTCAAACTGAGAAACAAGAAAGAAGACAAAAAAGTTAGACTAAAGTAATATAGCTTGGCAGTTTCACTTAATCTGTTTCCCCCAAATAGTTAGTGTTATAAGCAAAGCTGTATTTAATGATTTAAGATTAGTTATAATTTATGGAAATACTTTCACATTTTAAAGATCATATTATTTTAAAATTATGGCAAAACTTCATATGCTATCCCTTACCTATCAATACGTTCCCTGCTCCCAGTGCAGAAATTCTCAACTTCTACTGACCATGTCAGCTTTTTCTATAACACAGTTAAGCTTACAAATCTGCAAGGTCTCAATCTGAAAAATATCTCATTATTTTATGCTCATTTTTTTAAAGGATGGGATAAGAGCTCCCATTTATTTTTACCTCAACAATCACTGTATGTTCCTATATAAAACAAAGGATTAATTTTATTTTTTTCCAAAGGAACTTCAGTTTATATCACTTAAGTTCTTTAGTATTTTGTTCATCAAAACTCACTAAGAAGGAAGGACTTACCCTCTTTTGGAGGTTTTTCTATTTTGCACCATGGTACCAGATAAGTAATCTCACTCTCTTGTTTATCAATGAGAGCCAAATTTGGAGTGAGAAATTGTTCTTGCCATTCCTTATCTTTGGCCAAGGCTTTCCGAACTTCAGTTCGATGAGCAAAATTATCTGTGGGAAGAAAAGAATAAGGAAAAATTAAAAAATTCAGTTTTAAATCACCTGTACTTTTCTGGGTTTCATTCAAATCAGCAATGGTCATTGATGCCATATAAGAACCTTGCGTTAGGCCTTTGGCGACACCAACTAAACAGATGTGACCATCTGCCCTGAAGTTGCTCAAGGACAAAAAGGGCAGCAGAAATGCAAACTAATTGTAATGTCACATAATAGGCTTTATAGGCTCGACCACGTAGTAGGCAGTTTTGTGAAATTAGGTTAAGTTATTGAATCTTTCTCTGCCTCAGTTTCTGTGAAATTGAGATAGTAAGACATCTACCTCCAGGGTTGTATGAGGATTAAATTAACACATGAAAAGAGTTTAGAATAGTGGTTGGCACCTAGTTAATACTCAGTATATATGAACTATTCTTACTTGATTGAGGCATTTAACTTACAGTGCTAGTTTAGAGAAAGACTGTTTTCCTTTGGTGGTGGTGGGTAGTCAAGTCCAGATACACCCTGAATCAAATTTAACGAGTGAAGTTAAAACACCTTGAATCAAATTTAACATGAGTGAAGTTAAACTGTACTTTTTAAGCCTCTTCTCCTTTGAACAAATAGATTTCAAAGAAATAATGCTGATTCTCTTATTGTCATCCATTCTTTCTCCCCAGCACTTATTTTTCTTCTATTTAAGCTACCCAAACAGTTATATACATTTGCCAACATATGGGCCTAGTACTATATTTACTGTTAGGACCTCATAATACTAATGGTAAGAGAGTTTCATACAGTTTACATTGGGATAAGGAAGAATACCTATCTTACAACTTAAGTGAGGTATATCAGAACTTAGTTTTTTTAAATGGGCTGTGATACAACTTGTACCACATCTAAAGCATAAATTGTATTTTAATGGGGCTTTTTCTATTATAACAGGGAAAAACCCTAAACCAAACACTAAATGAAATTATTAAAAATTATTTAGGTATCATCAAGTCCTGATGTAGACACTGGAGTAACAAGCATTCTGGGCATTCTTATAACTTATTCTCCTTCCTCTACTAAACCAGGCATAGGTTAGTTTCAACACGGGAAGAACTCTCCCTCATTCCTTTTCTTTTACCTCCCTAGAGTAGTGTAACAGTGAATTCTTCAAAACTCTGGGGGTACAAATATGAGACAAATGTGGTCTGTAAACATAACAGAATTATTAAATCTCAGAGTTCAGTGAGGACTGAAAGTTAACCATCATCCCCTATAAACCTCCATATCCGTAAAGTCCCTTAAATGGTTGAAGTATTTCTGCTAAAATACTGATATACAGTCCCCTAGCTTCAAAAAAAGAAAAGGTACTTCTCCTTTCCTTTTCTGATCTTAACCCACTTGGACTTTAAAAATTGCTGCTTTAAATTTTTGATGAACTGTCTTTACAGCAAACCATTTTAACATTTTTCTGAGGTTTAAAGTCTAGTTCTCAATTTTATGGCTTGATATATGAGACGCCATGTCTTCCAATTTATAATGTAATATAATGTAATGTTTAAGCAAGGGGTTAGAGGTATGCCACTGGGAAGAATAAGAACTGAATTTACTTTTTTGGTATTGTTTTTCAAAAGTCTTAGTTATCCTGTATGTATCTATAATAATATAGATCCAAGAACTAAGTTTTATGTTCCATTTAACAGAATGAAAATCTATACTGAACGCCAAAACTGGATGACTCTTTACCATACTTCCAAATATGAAACACTTTATTCATTCTGCCTCCAAATTCTACACTCCAGTATCCAACCAATTCAGAGTGAGCTGTCCGAAGATGAGCATTTTTCTTAAAATTTTCCAGGAACTCATTCATTTTTGAGGGTTTAAGGTAATAAGTACGAAATTCATAGAATGTTCCATCGTATTGTCTGGGTCCTGTAGCAAAAGATGAGCACACCTGAAGAAGATAAGACAAATGTAAATACCCTGAGAAGAAAGGATTCATTATACTGTGTTAAAACCAAATCTGAATCTGGTATAAGGGACATTCATAGACTCATTACTCATGTTTGTACTTCTGTTGTCAATTCTCAGTATGTTACCAATGGAGGGTGTCCAGGTTCTTGGTGTTTGAACAAAGAACTGGACAAAACGCACAAACAAAGCAAGGAAAGAATTCAGTAACAAAAGCAGAGATTTACTGAAAATGAAATTACACTCCACAGGGTAGGAGTGGGCCTGAGTAAGTGGCTCAGGAGGCCTGGTTACAGAATTTTCTGGGATTTCAGTACCCTCTAGAGGTGTCCCATTGGTTACTTGGTGTAAGCCATATATAAATGAAGAGGATGACATAAAGTTACAAAGTCATTTACTCTGTGTACACCCTATGTAAATGAAGATGATATTTCTTGTCATAGCTGAAGTGTTTTAGTTCTAGGAAGTCCTTAGGTTCCCTGCCTTGAGGCCCTATTCTCCTGCTTCCCATATACATTTGTTTACATAGAGCCGTCAATAAAGACAACTACTCTTAAATATGCTGAGTGTATGTTACTGTTTCCTAGTGGGGGTTCACTGTCAACTTTAGCCACTTTTTCAGAAATTGCTCATAAGAAGGCGCTGAGATCTTAATGGTACTTCTTTATCCAAGAACTACAATTAGGATTCTAACAAATTTACAAAAGTTTTCCTATTAGCCAATATTGCATCTTTAGTCAAAAGCATATGTGTTACAGTTATGCACATCAAAGAACTTTATTAACTATGCAAGTAACTTTTTGCAGGCATAATGAAAAAAAATGTTTACTAGCAGAAAACTCTTTTAGGTTCTTGAAAAAAATGGAAATTACAATTCAGGTCAAAGTATTTCCTAAATGCAATGAAGTAAACCACTGATCAAAAATAGGACTGGAATGTAACAAATGCAACAAAAAGCTCTGACCTATCCAATTGTATTGTAATATAGTGGTAGAACATGAATGCTGAGAAAAAAATTCAGAGTCAAAATTTTCTGATTATTAGTTTCTAATTACGATGTAATGTGAACAACATTTAATGAATCCACTTATACCACATTGATGAAAATATCGCTTAAGAACCATTAATTCCTTTTGTAATAGTCATACACTCACTGTAAATTTCTAATTTGTGTTCTGGTTGAACTTTCTGTAAGAAATACCTCACCAAAGGTTATCCTCTATGTAGGTATCTATGTGTAATATGTACACACACACACACACCCCCACATATATATATACATGCATGGTATACACACAGGCACTCGTGATATTCTTATAAAATCCATCTTATGTAAGTTTGATTAGCATGTGCCATTTCCTGAAGTTGATTACACCAGAATAATCTATTAAGACAGTTTTGATACCTACAAAGCTATGGACAAATTAGGGCTTATATTGACTAGCCAGTATGTCTGTTTGAAAGCAGTAGGCTTTTGCTCTATTTGTTTACAAAATACAAAATTATGTAACTGTGTATGAAAAGGCTTAATGATAATTATCTAGAGTTAATTCTGTTCGTGTCTGAGTTATATTCTTATTGCTCAAATGACTAAGCCTACCAACAAAAACAACTGCAGCTGCCCCTGACTTTCATGGACACTCTTTTTGTGCTTTTAAACCAAACTCTAGTAACAATGTTGGTAGAGAAACAAGTGCCTAGTATCCATAATTTCAAAATTATTATAATAAAATATATCAGGAGATAGGCCAATGGGGCATTTGTGACAACTAGATTTCAGGTTGATTCGAGGAATTTGTATTTGGAGGATAACATAGTTCATCAAAGGTACACATTTTTACAATTTTTGGCATTATTAATATATAGTAGGGAACCTACAGTGAGAGAGAGAGAGGTGTAGACTGGTGGTGCCAGAGAAGGAAGACCGCAGGGGAGCAGGGTATGGTGGGGGGCCCGGATGGGAGTTGAGAATTTTGCTGCAGGGATGACTTTTAACTACTAGGGCAGAAATCATGAGTCGTCCATTCTCCCTTATCTCCAAGTTAGGGATGATTCCCACCAGCAACGACCTCCACTTCACTTACAAGAGAACAACTGATGGACATTTTTAAAAACTCAAATCATGCCATAAGGATGTAATTCCTGGCCCTGCGCCACTGGAGAATCATTAGGGTAAAGACTGCATTGTTAATCCGGGGTGAATGGACATTAGCTGCTGTTCTTTAGTGTTCCTCAGTCTGTCTCTAGGATAGGTTACTCCCCTTCCTATCCTGCCCCTTCATAAAGGAGTAAAGTCCTACACATGAAAAGGAAAAGAAATTTCTAGGTTGGAGCCACAGAATAGGCCACTCCCGAAAGTTAGGGCAGAATCACAAGCTCCATTTTGTCCATTTCTCATCTAAGGTTAAAAGAGTCTGTCATCGTCCTATTTGATAGGAAGCTCCGGTCCCACCTGGTTGGGGGAGCGGCCACACGGAGCGCGGGTGGCGGGCAGGGTCCAGCCCCACCGGGACCCTGGGCCTCCTTTTCAAGGGTCTCCGAGAAATGCTCGGAAGTTGTGTTTCATTTAAAAGGGGGCGGCCGGTTTCGTTGCGAGCGGCTGGTTGGCAATTCCCTCCCCTCCTTCAAGCTGATGTCTAGAGAGGGCGGAGGCTTGGAAAGCCACAACTCCACCGGCGGCTCGACAGCGCCAGATGACAACGTGGGAGCGCTCCCTGGGCCGCAGCCGCGACCTAGCTGGGCGGCAAAAACGCAGCAACGACGCCATGGGAGTGTCCCGGTGGGTGTGGCAGCCAGGCTAGAAAAGCTCTCTTACTGCGACTGCCCGCGAGACGACCCCGGCTGGGGGTATTCCCCTAGCAGCGGCCTCCTCCTCACGTGCGTCCCGGGGACCACTGTCTCGGGGTTCCCGGGCTCGCGCTAGAGCCTCGGCCGCGGCGCGGGACCCCAAGTTTGGGCGCGTGTGGCGGAGAGCGCATGCGCATGACTCGCACCATCCCGGAACAACCCCTGCCCTCCCCTCGGGTGAAGGATTGGGCGCCCCCGCGGCCGGTACCTGAGGCGCCAGCGTACGTGAGGCCAGCGCCCGAGTCAGGGCGCTTCTGAGGACAAGCATGGCGCGGCTTCGGCGCTGAGAAAAGCAGCTAGCCGTGTCCTTTCTGAGACTCCTCTGAAGGTTTCCCGAGTGGAGAGGAGCGGCTCCTGGACCATTGGCAGACGCAGGCTGGGGCGGGGCTCTGCGGGGTCAGCTCCACCCCGGCGCGGGAGGCGCGGCGGGTCCAGTAGCTTGTTGCCTTTCTCTCCTGCGCTGAGCGTTGGTCCCCCTTGATTTCCTGAAACGTTCTTGCCCCAAACGTTAGAAGTGACGTTAGAATTAACTGAAGGGCTCGGATCGTTCCTGCTGCAACTTTCTGGGCCCTCACCTCATTCGCTCCAATGCTCAGTTGTGTAGATTGGTAAATGTGCGGGGTTTGTGGGTGTGTTGTCCGTGGAGAAGGAAGGAGAGGTGTTGAGTGCGTGCATGTGCAGTGCTTTGTATTTAAACTCGTGGAGGTTTTTTCTTAAGTTTTAGATGTTGTGATAGACGTGTTACTTGAGCCTGACCTCTCTGCAATAAATGTGTTCTCCATCTTATAAGGCTCCTAATAAAGATTTAGATTAAATTTTCCACGAACTCAGAGAAATGGCAGCCCCGAGCCTGATATAGAAAAGTCAAAGTTAAACATACCCTGGTCTAGTCCTCCCAGTCCTGGAGTATTAGTTCCCATAGTAACCACCTTTCAACATTTTAAGCTGTTTCATTTAATGCTTGTTTCCGTATTTTTAAGTAAGAAGTATTTTCTGCTGCTTCTTGCATTTTCAGTTATGGATAGTATGTGTTGACTTCCTTCTGTGGCAGATGAGGATTTATGTCTGTCTCATAGATGCCACCGCCCCCAAATTCACTTGTCATCCTGCATCTAATAGTGCTTACGTTAATTTACAGTAATTACATTATTAATTTACAGTAATCTATATTAATGTTTACATTATTCTTGCTAATAATTACATTATTGTACACATTAATGTAATATTGCTTACATCATGAGGACTAGGTAGGTATTATAGGCCCATGACCTGTGGTTGTATTGGTTGTGCCTTGTGGAAGAGCTTTGGAATTGTCTGTTCACAGGAAGGGAGGCTTTTTAAAATTAGTTATTTCGGAAGGGTTGCCTCAGTTTTTCTAGAAGAGAGACAGCCATTTGTAACCGTGCAAGACTTAAGAAATCATTTGTATCAGATCTGTAGGAGTAAATTATTTTATTAGACCTTTTTTTAACCCTGTAATTGCCAATCCATTTATTTATTCAACAGATATTTACTAAATTCCTTCCATGTTCCAGGCACTTTTCCAGAAATGGGTACAGAATTGAGCAAAATTCAAAGTCCCGTCCTCTTGGAACATCCAGGTTGGAGGAAACAGATAAACAAATGAAGAGTAAATATATCAGGGCTTGTCAAATAATATAAAGAAAAATACAGTAAGATACGAAGAATAAAAGTGCTAGTGGAATTCTAAAAGTGCTTAGGATTCTAGCTATTGACTTGGATATTTAGGATTTAGGTTTCTTCATACCACTCCCTCAATATACACTTTCCTTCCTGCATCTATTGATGTTTACATTAAAAGTATGTTTTGGGGTGAGAAAAAATGTTAAAAGCACTGTAAGCACAGGTGAATCTCTTCAAATAGTGGGCTTCACTGTGAGGTGATCTGACCTGGGTATTTCACTGAAGGCTGTATCCCCTCCCCCAAACTGTTATCTGCAAGTTATTTATTTGTGTAGTCGGTGTTAGGGACGGGAAACTTCCAGTATCCTATCTGTGTGGGAAAAGCCTTGCTGCCAGTTTCCTGAGGCTGAGGAGGGAAGAAGGTCAGAACACTCAGCATTTGATAGTATCTTTTAACTATATGTTAATTAGGGTAGACTAAATAGCTCTTGCAAATCAACACACAAAAAAGTGTATTATTACTCAAAGACTATAGGATTTTATTTTTTTATAAGAATACAAAGTGGGTTTTTCTAGTTGGCAGGTAGCTCTTCTATACACAGTAAATTAGGGAGCCAGGCTTCTACCCTGTAGCTTTGCCATTCCCTAGTCTCATCATAAACTTCATCCATTCAGCAGAAAGATACAGGGAACTTCCAAGAGGAAAATACAGATAGGGGCAAAATTCATGGCTACAATTTAGAGATGGCTAAACATTGTCAAGTGCTACTAAGTAGCTAAGATATTCTCCTATTCACTTTCTCACGGGTTTTAAATATCATCAAAATACTGTGAGTTAAGCTTTATCTCTGTTTTGTAAATGAGAAAGGTGACGTCCGAAGAGAGAATTTTCTCAGGTTCATTGCTACAAAGTGGCACAGACTTTGAAGCCCAATTGTAAAACCAGTTCAGTTTACCATTTATTGTTAAAAGATATGTGATTATTAAGGTAATTTTAGATTTGTAGTGGAAAATAGCTTTTAGACAGAATAAAATGTAATGTTCTGTGGCTATTTTAAAAAACATAGCCCTAAACTGCCTGGAAAATGTATAGGATAAATATTTTGAAAATTATTGTTGCATATCTTGACATTCTGACAAATAGTCCAAAGGATAGATAATTCAAAGCTAGAAAAATCATACTAAAAATACTAGATTATTAAAATAGGCTCATATGATATAGAGTAACTGGGTAGTTATTTTGGATTGGATAGACAGAGATGACCTAAGAAGGTAACATCAAACATTTATCATAGGCACGAAAGTGTATATGAGATACCTGTACACTTTACAGGAAAATAAAAAAGTGAATATCTGTGCCCTTTCCACAAGGCTTCAGAAAAAGGGTATTGCCAGCAACTCAGAAGCTCAATACATGTTAATTCCTGGCCACATTCTTCTTACCACCCTCTCCTCCAATTCCCTCAAGTAACCATGATCCCAAATTTTGTGTTATTACATTGATTTTTTCTGAAATAATCCAACTACATTTGTATATAACTCTAAAGAGTATATTGCTTTGGTTTGCCTATTTTAGATTGTTTATTAACTAATTTTATTATTTTGTTACATAATTGTTAGTTGTAACTTTAGGATTTTGCAAATCACCCACATTAATGCAGTTGTAATAATTCACATCCCTTTTATATGCTATTCTATTACATGAAAATACCTTGTTGTTTTGTCCATCTGATTATTATAAACAAAGCTGTTTGAATTTATTTGTAGATGTGTCCTGGTTCTGCCAGAAGAATTTCTCTAGGGCAGGTATTACTAACCTTTTTTTGTGTCTTAAAGTCCTTTCAAAATCTTGTGAGATTTATGGACCCCAAATGTTTTTAAATGTGTAACAAATACATAGGGTTGCAAAGAAAACAAATACAGTGAAAAAATCTTGAACTAGAATAATCAAAATACGAAAAACAAATATGAAAAATTGAACTAGAATAATGAAATATAAAAGAAAACTTTTAAAAAAGAAATAGACACGCTTCTTTATTAGGGCACTAAATAACAGTATCTAATGGTGGGGGTAAAAGACGTAATTTTGAAGTAGTGATAAGTGTGGAAGAAATTTTTGTATATTTGCAACAACTATAAATGGAATTTGACGTTATCTATGATATTTATTGGTTACAAAGTCACAGGTCCTGCTAATATTGTAGTTTGTTGCCTACCTTCATAAACAAAGGAAATTGTTAATTTTAGTTAGAAGTTGGTGCCAATAAAGACAGAACTGTTATCCCTCCAACTTATCAGACTCTCTGAATTCTATTCATAGATTCACTCAGGATCTGTGTACTGGAGATTACAAATCACTACTCTGGATTACATACCCAGGAGTGGAAATGCTGGGTAATCAGTGAGGTACATATTCATCTTCACTAAATAGTGCTAGACTGTTTGATAGCAGTCTATGAGGTTTTCCTGACCAATTTTTTATTATTGCCCATCTGGTCTGATGAGTGTGAAGATGCATTTTTTTTTTTTTTTTTTTTACCTTTCATAACAAATAGGTATCCATTGAAAGATGGTGGAAATTGTATGAGGTGAGCAAAGGAAACAATCTACTTGGTGGTGTTCCTGCTTGGTTTTTTCAAAGGTCAGACTTATGCAGAAGCAAGCAGGTAGACCCAATTCTGGCCCAACCGAATAGGCCAGGTAGTGCCAATGGTGGCCCAACTGAAGGGCAGTAGCTCTACATGTAAACTCTAGATGCTTATATTCTGGTACTACATCCCTGGGTATACTTTCTTTTGGTGCTTTATTATTCTGCAGCCACTAGATGGTGGCATAGACTCACTTTTCCTTCATTAGGCGTCAACTGTGCGCATATGTCTATTTCTGTTACTTTTGAGTTCCTGTAATGTAAGTTATAGGTATTTATAGAGTGGACTTAACTTAGTTTTTTTGTGTCTGATACTGGATTGTGTATAGAAGAAAAACTTCTGTAAATGCAGGTTACTACTAATAATAAAGTGGGTTAATAATAATAAAAAGTAATAAAAATGCAAATCAATGTTTTTCAGTTTTCTTTAAAAAGAGACCTAAAATATCACCAAATATTTGTTAAGCACCTGTTGTATGTTGAACATTGAATTAAATGCCTTAACGAAGAAAAAAGAGAAAAACCACCACTGCTTCCTGCTTTCTGAGGGGGTCAGCCTGTCTTGATATTTCTGTATTAGTCTCTTTTCAACTAGAGTTCTTAGAGTAAATAGCAGTAAAGATTTGTGAATAGCTAAATATTTAAATATACTAGAAATTTATTTAAATTTTTTCTATTTATAAAGTTTTTATTTCTAAAACACATAAACATGTTTATATATCTATTACCTCTTTCTATATATAAAAATTAATTGACTTTTACGTTTTCCATTGGAAAATGAATTTTAGTGCCAATGACATTCTAAAACCTGACATCAGTGAATACAATTATTTCCTAAAATAGGCTTTGCAGATCTTTTCTTTGAATAATCCCTGTGCCTCACAACTGGAGTTGGGGAGAAATTTTATTAGACAAATATTCCTGAACCTTTTAATATTTGTTTCAGATTTTTCTTATTAAATATGGCTTTTTTTCTAGGTGTTTAAGTTGAGACATCTTCTAGCTTTAAGCACTTATACACTTTATTTGTACATATTTTTTTCACTAAGTTCCTCTTCCAAATGAACACTCATTATTCAATGTTCTCCAGTGTTTTCTTTACCTCCACAAGTTGTCCCAGGTACCTGCTAGCTGGGTAATTGATTAACTTTCTAATCTGAGTTAGATGTACTTGACCCTCATTGATTGTTTTTATAGTATTTTTAAGTTGGTTGTATTTTATTTATTCTCA